GATCTTTCCTGTATACTACTGGTATTTTCCTTAGTATTTTAGAGTTAAATATACATATATAAATACCCAAACACACATAAATACATATATAAAATTGTGGACATTTTTTTCCTCCCCTTCATAAATTTATACTATGTTTTTCAGTCCCTTTCTTGAACAGTGTCTCACAGCAATTTTAAAGGAACAGTTCACATTTCCTCACAGGATATATAAGGTATACACTGCAAAGTGGGGCAAAGGAGCAGGAATTCTATATTACAAATAGTAAAGCTTTAAAAATATCAACAAAGCATAACATTCTAACATAACAAATGAAGAGCTCTGCATTAAAAAAAGACTTCATTATTTCAGTATCTCTTTGTTTGCTTGTTTAATCATCCCCTGGGACAATCTGTACCGTTAAGAAACGTGTAGAAAACAGTCATCAGTTTTTGTTGTTGTTCAATTAGTGCTATACTCAGTGTTTGAGCTCATGCAAGTGTCCTTAGGGGAAATGTCCTGCGTGCCATTAGCACTATTCTTAATGAGGGAAAGCATGAAAACTCCTTTAGTGCTCTGCCAGAATTGTTTTATCTTCAAGTCAAAAGAACAACTGCTTGGAGTAACCCCAAAAAAAGCATTTAACAATTACAAGTGGCAAACAATATTCCCAAGCATTATACTCATAGCACTCTTCTATTTATAGGCTAATAGTTATTATACTGAATAAAATATGTATTAGGCAGCTTTATTATACAGACAGTCATGATTCCCCAGTTACAGCTGGTATGATGGTTCCATTATAAGCCCAGTTTTGATCCCTTTTACTCTTTCTGTGAGAGGCAGGGTGGGGAACAGGAGGATGTTTCATGTTTGGTTTCAAGACAAAGGAGAATATTTTTAGGAAGTTTGAGGTTAATTGGATATGCTGCTTTTGAGATATGGGACACAGGCGTTTCTTTATTCTTTTTTGAAGAAAAAAAGCAGTGTAATGGCATGTTTTTGTTCATAATTTAACTAGTTCTCCAGAATTTCTTTAAAATACCAAATTAGAATTGAAAACTAGGTGAAAGGAAGTTCAAAACTTACAGCTCTAGGAAATACATAATAGACAAAAGATCTAGCACTTTCCCTAGCTACATTTATTTTCTAAAAGGCATACAAGCTTTTTCCATTATAAGAAAAGCAAAGCTACAGTTAAAGAACACTGGACTTAAAACAAAAACTAAAACATTCTTTAACTCTTACCACTGTTTCCCTTCCAATTACAGTTCTTCCTAAAATGTGGGGGGCAGGGAGAATAAAGCATTCTCTCTTGCAGTTGCTCTTTATCTAACTGTTCCCTCATTCTTCATGTTTCTAGTATTTCTATCTCTGCTTCATAATCCTGACATCAAGCATCTTCACATCTCTCATACCTCCTTGATCCCAGCTTCAGCACGATCTAAGACCTACGAGTATTTGAGCCTGCATATTCCTATTTTTTGCCACCCCAATGACTAGCTGGAGAGCAGAGAATTTAATGAACAAAGTAGGAGTAAAGTTCTGGCTAAAAGTTCATATTTGTCACACATACAAGCTCATTTAAACAATGCGTAAAAGCATTCCCTGTATTCTCAGGGACATACACTTACGTTCTGACACATACCCTTACAAAACAATGGACATCAGCTGGCACAAACTCCCTTCATAGAGGAGCATCATATTGAAGAGCTAGAATTTAAGCAGACACTGTGGATGACCTACAGAAATGGGATGAAGGCATCTTATTTCAGTTGGATTTTATACGCAGTCTTTGGAATGAGGCAAGAACTGCCTAATTACAGAAACAATGAGGAAATTTCAGAGCCAGGCAGTATTATATAACCAATGATATTCCACCGACTTGCCACCTACTCATGTCACACGAAAAGAAGGAAGAAGGTGGAAGTACAGCTATTCCCAGTTCTAATTCTAGAAACACAATGGGGGCTGCGTATTTCTATCTTTTTAGTTCTGTCCAAAAAACCACAAAGTTCATGCATTTGTTTGAGACGCTCCACACCTAACTTCTGGAAAGATGAGCATCAGTCTACTTCTTTCTCCTTATTACTTAATATACTAATACCTCTTTGCTTTCCTTTCTTTTCATCTAGAAAGGTCAGTAAGATTCATTCTCTTAAGTCGTCCTAAGACTGCGGTAAGAAAATTCTTAACCTCTATGACAATCTTGCTCCAAGCCTCATGCAACTGTTATGGATGTGCTCTTGTGGATGTAACTGCATGCAGCTGTGAAGGACGTGAAAGTCCTGGAAAGGATCTAAAGGAGGGCAACAAAACTGGTAGAAGGGCTGGAAGAAATGTCCTATGAGGAGCTGCTAATGACTTTGGGCTTGTTTAGTTTGGAGAGGAGAAGTCCGAGGGACAACCTCATTGCTTTCTACACCTTCCTGAGGAGGGGAATTGAAGAGGGAGGTACTGATCTTTTCTCCCTGGTACCCAGTGATAGGACACACGGGAATGGTTCAAAGCTGTACCAGGGGTGGTTTAGACTGGTCATTAGGAAGCATTCCTTTAATAAGGTGGTGGAACAGGCCTCCTTGACAGATCAATGCTGCAACTTGTCAGTGCTTAAGAAGCATTCGGACAGTGCCCTTAATAACACGCTTTAATTTTGTCAGCCCTGAACTGGTGAGACAGTTGGACTATGTGATCATTGTAGGTCCCTTACATCTGAAATAGTCTATTCTCCTCTAAATAGCTTTGCAGCTGTGGAGGCATTGAGTCATCATACACCTGCAGCAGGCCTCTAACTTCCTATAGTAGAGGTCTGTAGTAACCTGGCCTGTTCTACAATGGACAAAAATGTTTTAGTCATTTTAAGAAGCAGAGATTTAAAACACTGAAGGAAAGTTTTAGAAATGCTGAACTGTTTCAGACTGCATATTTTCAGTTGTTTTCTAAAGAGTTTATTCAGGTCCATTTTGATGTTACAGGTATCTTCATGCAAGTCAGAGATTGATTATGCAGGAGAGTCAGTGTAGCTGACTATGTAGGAATATTTACCAACCACACAAGACAAACCTGAATGGAAATGTTTTCATTAATTTCGTTACTCTTAGGTTGCTCTGGCTAGCTTCAGTTTACATATCTTTAATAAAAATTATAAATACAACTTTTCAGGTTAGAAAATAAGTATTTTTAAAAAAAAGAAAACCAGCAATTTATTTTTTAACTCACAGGAGGGAATCTGGACAATCTGGAGGTAGAAACTTAGCATCAGGTTTGCTCACTTACTTTATAAGACATGGGTACACACAGAAGTTACTGCACAGTAAGTTTTCATATGTCTGCTATGTAGGCAGGCACAGTCTATTTGCAAGCTATTTCCAGGTAAGCCGGCCCTCAGCCAAAATAGATAGGTATGTCTCTTTGAATTTACCCATACAAAGCCATGTACTAAGAAAACAGAGGCAACTCAGGTGAAGCAGCTGATGCAGGGTAACCGGTTACCACACACAATTTTGCTCACATGGCAAAGCTGACAGCTTGTATCATGAGGTCTCACCAAGATTCATGGGGCAGCAGAATTCAAATGATGCTGTTCGATAGATAGCGTTATACAACTTGCACAGGACTGCAAACTTTAGGGATTATTCAGACAAGATTTACAAGTTTCAGCGAAGCTTTCAAAAATATTTGTTCATAACACAAAATGCATGGATTTTCAGCTTTCATAAGCCGTACTTAGAATGAAAATCAAAACACATTTTCAGTATGTCAAGATACAGTATACTTGGACTAGGATTGCTCATGGTTTGAGGTCATAACAGCATCAAGTTTTGAATTATCTCTTTCTTTTCACCTCCTCAATTACAGTACCAAGCTACATATAGCACAAGATGCACACAGTTTAAGTGGCTCTTTAAGAGCAACTACTTGCATTTCATTTGAACAACGCAATGCACCACAGGTAAGAGAACTGCGGAAGTGAATCAGAGCTATGAAGACTAGCATGGCAAGCTCCTTCTGGTTCAGAAATGCCCAAAACAAGCTTTCACTTAAGAGCTGTCTCACCCTTCACCAACTTACGTTTGTGTAAAACGTAAGTTAACCTGCGCACTGTTTGTCTTGTAAACTACATAGATATATTTGCTGCTGATCTATCAAATCAATCCTATGGACATTTCAATACAAATCATTCAGTGCAAATCTTCAGGTCTCCTCAGCTGAATAAGTCTTTCCTAAACAAGGAAAGATATATAGGAGTCCAATATGTTTAAAATGAGGCTGATAAACACAAGACACTTTTACGCATAGGCAAGATGTCAAAGAAGCAATTACAAGTTTTACTTACGTGTTGCTGAAAACAAGATATTACAATTTTAGGTAGGATTCAGATGGTCAGCAAAGATTCGGCAAAGAAATATGATTTGACAGCAAGAATCATGAAAGCATTGGGATTTAGTATCTGAAGGATGTTAGTAAAGACTGCTATTTACAGAGAGGAGAAGAAAAAGATGTGATTGAAACAGTATAAACTCAGATTTAATGCTTGCAACACAGAAGCAGAAGCACATTCCAAGTCTTTAGAAGGAAGAAAATGCTAATCTAAGGATTTTAATTCATGAACTTTATCAACTCAAAATGCGATCATTTCACAAGCCAGTCACTCCCACTCTCCTCCCAGACACTATAACCCTTCAGGTGGGGTAAATGCTCCTAACTCAGAGGAGAGCGGCCAGTACATTTGTTAGAACTACTCCCCCCAACTTCAGTTTCAGTCTGGGCCCAAATTTCTCCAAATGCAGTCTCCAATTTAAATCTTTGCTTAACTGCAATGATAAGCTGACTGAAGGGCAATAGCCTCTCTAATACCAAAGCCAATTTTGCTAACAACAAAGATTAATCTGAGTCCTGATTTATAAGCATAGAAATGTGACACATTCAGACCTTGCAGCATGAAGAGGAACCACTGCTACTTAAAGGTAAACTGAGCTTAGTGCCAAATAGCACACTTTCCCTAATTTAAAATAATATACCTGGAGATATAGCTCTGTGGAACTGATACACGTCTTCTCCAATCAGTTCTTGTGCAACCTGCTTAATCTTCCGTCGAACAGCATCTAGTTTTACTTCAGATTCATTTAATATTTCTTCCCCATTGGGAGCACTGCAATCAGAAAAGATAAACTGAAAGAGCAGCTTTCAAAAAATGAGCAAACAGTCAAAAAAAGCGTATTACACGCTTTCTTTTACTAACCAGTATATTTTCAATGGCTTCAGGAAAAAATCAAAGCTGATACTGGAATGAGAAACAGTTTAACTTCCATTAATACCTACTGCAGATGCCAAAAATCTGTACATTCTTACCAGGAAAATAATCAGCCAGCCACACAGTTCTGGTAGCATGATGTTTATTCCAGATGAGAATTTTAATTATTGCTTAAGTAAGAACAATGAGAAACATGTGCAAAGGTTTCAAAAAAGTATTCAAAAAAAACAGCAGTATTTGCAGAAGTCCTTCAACCTCTTAAAAAATAAATCAACATTTTGCAATACATGACCTACTTCTATGTGTGATTTTTTTATTTTTTTTTTTAGGAAGTTATTATGGACTATACTATTCAGGATCAGCTGAAATATTTGATTCATACTCACAATATATACTTGGCATTTAAAGTTTAATTTATCTCCTTTTCTTTAAACTTCCCCCTCCCCACCAAATAAACTATATGGTATATTAGTTTACAGTCTGTTTAAGGAATTACTGATAGACCAGTCTCAAGGAAAGTTTTAAAAGCAAACAGTAAAGTTTACTGAAAGTAAAGCCACAATAATAGTGAAAAGCAAAGAAGGAAATAAAAATACAGCAGAGAAAGCCTCCACTCTCACAAAACCAGGAATATCTTACAAAACAGGAATCTGGAATTCGGAGTAAAGAGGAGTGCTTTTTATGTTTCTTTCCTCTATCAGTTCCCAGCTACCTAGCCCCTGCAGTGGGAGTAGCTATTTACAGTCAAGGTTGTAGCACTTACTGGAATTGTCACAATGCCTTTTTGAGAACAAGCCCAAATTAAAAAGAGGGTAACTTCATAACACCTATTTATAACTGTTACTACTATGGTCACTATAAATAGTTACTAATACAGCAGAATGCATTGATAAGTAAGAAAAGATAACTAGAACCACATGGACTGGAGAGAACTGCTATAATACATAAGACCCCTGTTTGACACATAGAGTTAAGGATTTTATACAGCAGGCTATGCAAAGTTTCAAATTTTCCTGTTACTCTTCTAGCTTGTATGTGGCTTCCAAGGACTGCCTGGAGGCTCGTAAGAACACAAAACATACAGAAGCTCAAAACTTCACACAAAAGCCTCTTAGGCTGCAGTATTTACTGAAGTAAACAGAACCCAGGTCACCTCCTCTTTGGGTTGATGACCTGGGGTGGGACTACAGCAACCAAAATGGTGAAGTAACTGCAAAGGCAACTAACCTGAAGGAAGGGTACATGCTTTTCTCTCCCAGTTTGCTGAAAGCTGGAAAGGTCTCTTAAGCTGTTACACTCTACTACTCTGACCCTGTTTAATACATCAGTAAAACCAACCAAGAAACCTGTACCTGCATCTTTCATTCTCTAACTGGAGTGTGCATTCGCTAGCTCCCATCTACCCAAAAGGATGTTTATGGGAAGTTAATTAAATTCCTCTCAACAGAAGAGTGCAGCTATTAATCACAAATACAGAGAACACTGCAAGGCAGTTTCTAGGTTTCTGTGAACAATTTAATGCTCGATACTACTCACCTGATAAACCTGTGGAGCAGAAATATCGTTCTTTTGCTTTCAATAGTTATATCACGACTGAGCTTCACAAGCCGTTCATATTTATCATGCCTGGTGTCAAGCTCCTGCTGAAATGCTGCAGAAACAATCATTACAGGAACAAGCGTGGTTATCACATGTATACAGCACAGGAGAAGAGCAGACAGCCTGGGCTACAGTAACTGCTTATAGGCCCCAGCCCCACCAGCCTTTACCACTTTTCCCCCTGGTTGCCCTTTCCCAGGATCGGCAGTGCGGCTGCTCCTTTGTGTAACATGTCTGCAGAAGCCACCGCTGCCAGAGCTGCAAGTCAGCATTAATACTACTCTTGCTGAATAAGTCAGGTTTAAATATACATCAACCCTGACGATGCTTTAACACAGCCCAAACGATTTTAGGGTAAAATACTTGTTTTAGCTAGTAAACCTATCCTGTGATACTGCTGCTCAGGAAACTGACTTAAATTTTCACCCAAATTCAGAAAGATAAATTAAAAAATAGAACCGTACAATCATTCGTAAATAAGATTCATCAGTCCTTAAAACCAACCAACCAAACAAGGCATTTGACCAAGGCACACACACTGTTAAAATGCACCATTTAGTAAAGAGGTTGCATTTTACATCCCAACTAGACCTGGCCAAAAGTCAAATACATTAATATCCCTAAGAACTAAAGGTTCTAAAGGTACTAAAGCAAAACAAAATCACAAATAAGATTTCTGACTTATTGATGTAAATTCTGTCTAACCACAATGAACACAAAGAACAGAGGATGTGTATCTGGTTATCACAGTCAAACGTGAATGTTTCACAGATACTATTAACATTTTATAGACAATTATTCCACTAAATAAACCATTAATAGATACTTAGAAGAAATCTAACACATTTCCTGCATAACTGTCTCAGGTGTTAAAGTGTCTGTATGAGAAGATGGTGAAACTGAGCTAAGAGGTTGAATTTTTAAAGGGTCTGACAAGAGAGTATCCTTCGGAAAAAGCACAGCAGTTTGCTGACAAGAACAGTTTAGATAAAGCTACAAAAGTCACAGTGTATCTCATCACTTTGATAAAAACTTGGTTTCTCTTATTTTATTCTATACTCACAGAATCACAGAATCCCAAGGGTTGGAAGGGACCTCAAGAGATCATCTGGTCCAACCCCCCTGCAAGAGCAGGGTAACCTAGAGTACATCACACAGGAACTCCTCCAGGCGGGCCTTGAATATCTCCAATGTGGGAGACTCCACAACCCCCCTGGGCAACCTGTTCCAGTGCTCTGTCACTCTCACAGTAAAGAAGTTTTTCCTGATGTTAATGTGGAACCTTCTATGCTCCAGTTTACACTCATTGCCCCTTGTCCTATCAGTGGGCATCACTGAAAAAAGCCTAGCTCCATCATCCTGACACCCACCCATTAAATATTTGTAAACACTGATGAGGTCACCCCTCAGTCTCCTCCAAGCTGAAGAGACCCAGCTCCTTCAGCCTCTCCTCATAAGGGAGGTGTTCCACTCCCTTAATCATCTTTGTGGCTCTGCGCTGGACTCTTTCAAGCAGTTCCCTGTCCTTCTTGAACTGAGGGGCCCAGAACTGGATGCAATATTCCAGATGCGGCCTAACCAAGGCAGAATAGAGGGGGAGGAGAACCTCTCTTGACCTACTAACCACACCCTTTCTAATGCACCCTAGGATGCCATTTGCCTTCTTGGCCACAAAAGCACATTGCTGGCTCATGTTCATCCTCCTATCCACCAGGACCCCCAGGTCCCTTTCCCCTTCACTACTTTCCAGCAGGTCAGTCCCCAGCCTGTACTGGTACATGGGGCTGTTCTTCCCCAGATACAAGACTCTACACTTGCCCTTGTTGAATTTCATCAAATTTCTCCCCACCCAACTCTCCAGCCTGTCCAGGTCTCGCTGAATGGCAGCACAGCCTTCTGGTGTGTCAGCCATTCCTCCCAGTTTAGTGTCATCAGCAAACTTGCTGAGGGTACACTCAGTTCCCTCATCCAGGTCGTTGATGAACATATTAAACAGCACTGGTCCCAGCACTGACCCCTTAAATCTTATGTCTGACATGGAGACAAAGACCACCATTGTCTCCACCTGGGGCTTAGAAGCACTTCTGTAGTAGAAAGAGTGGATGTCTGAAAAGATGAATATATCATGTCCCTTACATCATTTCTGAAATGCACCAAATGCTGCTGATTGGATCTCATGTGAAAGGAGGGAAACAAGTGTTTTGAATCTGAACTAATGGCAACCTTATGACAAATCAACATGCTTAAGGGTGAAAAATTAAAATACAGTTGCTCTACTCAATTCAAGCACAAGTGTATGTACATTATCCAGTATAACAGTTCAGGGGTCAAAGTTAACAATCTGCTGAGCTAATTTACACAGGAAAAAGAAGAAATATCTGCTTTAAAGAAAGCAAGGGAATTACGTGATGTTGAAGTACCATCTAGAACAGCCATCCAACTCTTACTCCTTCACTGTCCTTAGCTTCACAGAAAATAGTCAGGATGGGGAAAATTTTACACCAATAATTAATCTGTTTCCTTCCTTCTTCTGTCAAGACTTCTTATTTCTGAAGTTCAGCTTTGCCTGCTTATGGCTTGTCTAATGAGAAATTTCAGCTAAATTTACTGGAGTTTAAATCTGGTTTTGTGCAAAACCCTATAAAAACAGTTTGGTTGGAGGGAAGTTTACACTTGCTTATTTAAAGAAACTTAAATACAAGCTAATTTATAAATGCACACAATTTGAACTAAGTGTCTACATATAGGTCTGCATTAGTGTCCTGGGTTCAGCAGTAGCAGTCATTTTTCTCCTTCTTAGTAGATGGTGCAGTGCTGTGGTTTTGACTTTCAGCCTGGGAACAACGCTGATAACACCGATGTTTTTAGTTGCTGTTCAGTAATGTTTACTCTGAGCAAGGACTTTCTGAGTCTCATGCTCTGCCAGGGAGGAGGGGAAGCTGGGAGGAAGCAGAGACAGGACACCTGACCCAAACTAGCCAAAGAGGTATTCCATACCACAGCACATCATGCCCACTATATAAACTGGGGGAGTTACCCAGAAGGGCGAGATCACTGCCCAGGTCGGGCTGGGTATCGGTCAGCAGGTGGTGAGTGGCTGTATTCTCTTCCCTTGTTACTTCCCTTATCATTATTATTATTGGTGGTAGCAGTAGTGGTTTGTGTTACACCTTAGTTACTGGACTGCTCTTTTCTCAACCGTGGGAATTACATTCTTACATTCTCCTCCCCATCCCTCCGGGAGCAGGGGGGAGGAAGGAGAGGGAGTGAGAGAGCAGCTGCATGGCTGACTGATTTTAAACCACAACAATTAGTTAGCTGAACTCTTATTTTTAAAAACTGCATGTATGTACAGCTACCAACTCACAAATCAATGCATCCAGAAGTACATTAAAGTAGCTTAAGTCATCTATGCACCAGAGCCAAGGTCAACAGCTAAGAGCCTTCTCAGTGTCCCCAATGGGAGCTATTTCCTCCTCTTGTCCCCATGGCTCGGATTTTTCATTACACTTCTGCAGATCTTAGTTTTCTGCCACCAAAGGACACTGTCACCTGTTGTCTGGCTGAACACTTGCTCAGTTTGCTTAGCACCACATTCAGCACAAGTAGGGTGAGGGAAGAGCAGGCAGGATGAAAAAGGAAGCAAATCATGAGTCAGGTGGAGCTCTGTGAGACCCCACTCTCAGGACTTTACTGCACAAGAAGCAAAAAGCCAAGCTCTAAATGTGGGAAGCAAGAGTCCAACCAGTTTCAAGCTTCTCCTGAGAGAAGCTGGTTTATTCCATCACTAAATACTAGTTATTTCCTAGCAATTTCTACACCACATTTTTATAATGTGGCTTTCTGAATGCTTACTTACATTTGAAAGATGTCATCAAAGCTGAAGATGGAGTAACATTCTCTTTTTCCTCTCTTTTCTGACTGCGTGGAAAATTGTCATGTTTTCGTTTTCTGAACCCACCCGATCCTATTAATAGAACACACAAAAATGTATTTTAAAAATAAAAGTTTTGCCAGAGCATAAGCAGCATCAGAACACTGTCTTAAAGCATTCCCAACTGTAACCATATTTTACAGGATCACATAAGATAAACTAGATGAATCTTATTAGCAAGTAATGTCACCTTCATGTTAGCTTCTTCTACCACATTCCTCAGGAAAATTAGAAAAAATCCTACCAATTTTAATGGACAAGTATGGTAGGATTCCAAGTGCCTTTTTTAAAAAATTTCCTTTGTTTTTTTGGCAAGATCTTCACACCCTTTCGTGTTTCCTTTCTGTAAGGGGATGGCTGCATGGAAACCCTTGTCTGAGCAAAAGCCTATGGATTAGACATTTTATTTTTCCCCTTTTTTCCCTTTTAATTATTTTAAATATTCAGCTTGACCAGAGTCACTGAAATGCTTCCAATACTTATTTTGTGTCATGGGTCTTCAGTAATCAGAAAAAGCAGCAAGGCATAATTTAAGTAAACTACCACTAGCCAGGTATGCAGGTTTAGCTCTTGCAGTGTAGCATCTTACATTCTGCCCCTTGACTAGCTTCTTCTCTTACCCTCACCCAGATCTCACCTCTCTTGTACTGTGTTTTACTACCAATTTACACCTTGTACTGTTTCTTCCTTTTGTCCTTCCTTCACCTAGGATAGACTCACCGTACCATTCAGTGTTTTACACATTCCTCCCTCTTGCTACCACTTTCTTATGACAGCCATACACTCTCTGTTCCTAACAGAGGCCACAATTTGGCAAACTTACATTCAAGCATACCTTCCTGAATATGTGGAGTGCTCTCAATTTCCTTAAAAGAAGAACAAAAGGAAGCTACTTAAAAGTTAGACGAACACTGGATTTTAAAATGCTTCCGTTTAATTGTTTATTATCCCAAAGCAAAGCCAGAAGTGGGCGTAGTTACTTTCTAAAAGAGGAAACTGAAAATCATTTTTTCCTTCTTTTCTGTTAGGACACAAGTTCAGGGTTTTGTTTTTCCTGTAGCAGCTGAAAACATTACAAACACAGCCCCCGAAATAGTGCAGAGAATTAAAACTCTGCAGTATTCTTAAAGTTGGGGACATCATAATGACCTACAGGAAAAAAGCAGGCCTTCCTGAAGTGTGTGAGAGAAATAGAGAGAAGAGGTCTACAGAGTAACTCCACAACTTGGGTACCAGAAAACCACAGACTGCAATAATTTAAAACTTGATTTTTTTAAAGTAAAAATGCCAGCTTCCTTGTTGCAGAGCCTACTTTGTGGCTGAAGGGAGGGAGTGACTGCCTAGCTAATCAAGCACACATGCGGCAAGGTGAATGCTGTGTTGCTGGAAGTTAGTTACCATTACAAGTACTATACGGGTCTAATACACAGCTTTTAGCTGCAGCAACCACTTTTTTGCCATCAAGGATGATCTCTGAAACTACATTCACAGCCACATCCACAAGTCCAAGTGGGAAGGCACTAACACCTGTGCAGAAACCGCCTCCCTAGGTGTAAGGGCAGTTTGCTGACACAGCCGAAGAGAACCGCTGCTCACAGCAGAGGCTCATCCTTCCGCCCCTCCCAGCTGCAGGGCATCCCCGCTTTGGCCACCTCCAACTCCTCCTCACGCCTTCTCTACTGTCGGCTCAAGGCGCTTGAGAGGCCCCTTAGGCCCAGCTCAGCCAACGGCCCCTGGACCGCCCCTCGGCGGCGACAGGCGGCGCACGGCCCGCACGCCTTGAGGGACGACCGCCCGCCCATTCTCCTGCGCGCCGGGCGGCGGCAGCGGCCCCGCTCGGGCGGCTCCGGGAGCCGCGGGACTCGCGTCGGTCCGGCGGTGGCTGTGGGCGCACTGCGCCACGCACCGAGGAGCCGCCGGCTCCAACCGCCTCCAGGCCGGGGTGTGAGAGGGGAGAGGCACGCGCGCCGCCGCCGTCGTCACCTTCCTTGCCGCTCATCCCGCTGCCCTCGTCGAGCCAGGCCGCGTACCCCCGGCAACCCGCTGCCTCCCCGTGCGCCGGCAGGGCCTCGCAGCAACGCCCCAGCGGGGTGCCAGGGCAAGTGCCAGAGGGAAAAACGCCACAGAGTCGGAGCACGCCCGCCCCGTCGCTCGCGGTGTGGGAGGCGCAGTGCGAAGTTGCGGAGGCGAGGGGAGTGATATCGGGCGTCGGTACCCGCGAAATAGGGGTAACGCCGACGCCAGGGCTGTGTTTTCAAGCAGGCGGCTGTATGGGCTGCTAGTCTGAGACGCCGCTGTAGGGCCCCTCGAACTCGCGGCACGACGGGACATGTAGTGCTATGGTGGGGTGGCGGCGCTGCCGAGCCGCGGCCGCTGGCCAGAGGTGCATCTGGCGAGGGAGCCCTGGTGTTGCCGCCAGCAGCGGGGGGCGGTGGCGCTGGTCCCGTCTGCTTTCCTCGGCCTGACCCGCAGAAAGTGACCGTCTTGTCCCCTCCCCTTCTCTGTCAGGCTGTGTCTCCTGCTGTCCCCTTCTCAACTCGGCACACCAGCACCGTGGTGCTTTCCTTCCATACGAGGTGAATCGGAGCACGCCAACAGCACAGAGCAGCCAGTACTAGGCACTGTGTTGCTCCCCTCACTGCTCAGCTACGAGATACGTCATTTGAAGGAGGCCAGAGGGAATGCTATCCTGGGAATTGGAGACACTAACTGTACACCTTAAAGATAGGACAGAGGGGCCACCTGATACCTGGAAAAGAAACCTGAGAGGTGACAGATGCTGCTGCTACCACACGGGAGGCAGTGACTGCCCCAGGAGAACAGAGTTTCCTGGCCCGCAGGCAGGAAAAGAGGGGACTGTGGGTTGCTAATCTGACCTGGTTTGGGACTGGCAATTCCTGAACCCATGTTACTGGTGTTATAAATAGTGGCTCAAATAAACTGACTAGAGCCAGACCAATGAATCAAATCGGTTTATTGAGCAAGCGACAGCAAGCAAAACAGCGCTGGGCGGCCGGGGAGTCTCTGCTCTGCCAACAGCACGCACCCCATTTCCCCAAAGTCACTGGTTTTATACTCTTCTTCATCCAGTGTATGTGCTACTCTTGCTGTATTCTGCGTCTGTGTGGCCCATTGATAAGGGGTCTCATTCGGCCTCCTTGTGGGTGTGGGGAGAAAGCTCCTTATCTCCTTAGGAGTCTCATTCAGCCTCCCGGTGGGTGTGGGGAGGAAGGCTCTTTATCTTCTTTTCCATACATAGTGTACTTTAACAGATGCTCGCAGTCTATAAGCCAAATTTCAAGGTGTCGAAATTTTCCAGTAACCTTTAAGCACAAGTCAAGTAACTCTTAAACAATTAACTTTTAAGCAAACAAGATTTGATTAACAAACAGGAATTCACTCATCACACTGGTAGTCTGTGTTTTGTCAGACCTGGTAGAAATTGTTTCCTCTGCTAGGGATTGAATGCAGGTGTTCATAAGGGACATCACAGGCTTCAGCACAAAGGAGATGCATGCACCCTCCTTGCCGAGAGTACTTGATGACACTTCAGTGCTTCTGGTGATGAGCTACAAAGTCTGCTTGCCCTGCTGCATTATCCATGCTTTTCTTTCCTAAACAATCAACCTGATGTGTTCCTCTAAGGTGTTTAAAAAAGGGATGGGTGCTGCAAATCCCCAAACAAAAAGCGTTGCTGCTCTGCTGCTAGATCTCATTTCTTGTCACAGCTGTTGCCTGTTTTAGTAGCTGGATTCCCAAGGAAACAAAGCTCATATGAGCACAAAGGCGGAGCGCTCACAGCCTTTGTGTGCGGGTGTGCGTGTGTGTCTGTCCTTCCTCCCCACCCTTAATAATTTTTTAATCTGTTGGTCAATTGGCCGTTCCAGTGTGACAGAGGGAAAGAGCCTCCAGGAGTGATTATAAACATCCTGACTGGGGAAAAGATTTTGGGTGGAACTTGCACCTTACTAGAAACCAGATAAGAGGAGCTTGTGAGATGTGAATGCTTCAGTCCAGCGTTAGCAGAGCCCAGACTTCGGGAGTTCTCACAGGCCAGGGGCACTATCTCTTGCTCAGGCCTTTGTGTTTAACATATAAACAAATAGAGCTATTAGCAAACTTGAATACCAGGTGAATCTGTCAACAGATTCAGGAGGACAATAAATCACTCAAGTCAGATGGTAGAGGAGTAAAGCTTTGACAATGAGCTTTAAATGGTCTAGGCAACCAAGCAGGAGTTGCTAAAACTTGGTATTTCCAAATACATAGAACACATGACTCTGTCCTTTGGTGCTCAAAATTATTCAGAAGCATAACATAAAACCTCTCTCCAGTTTCCTAATCTAAGAAAACAGATGTTAATCACATTTGAAAAACAGTGTACAAAGAGGATCCCAGCAGAACTTCCCCAGGCCTGATCTGCACATCGAGTTGTGCAACGGCTTAGTTGCTGCCCTACCAGCTTTCTGCTTTCTATGTAGCAAAATCAGAACATGAAGTGATTTGCACCAGTGTTATTGCTGCATGTGTTTAAGCACGGCCTTTTGTTTTAGAAAATGTACAAAACTGCTTTTGGAAACACTCCCCCCCCGCCCCACTTTTGTCCCCCCCAACCGTGCTATTTCCCTGTTCTCACCAGCTATTTAGACAAAAAGCAGAGTGGTTTTGGTTACACGTATGTCGCAGGATAGTGGAAAGACTGATGACATTTAAATGTTTCCCAGCAGTAAAGAATTTTCAGCCAATTGTGGGTAATGGATTTTTGGTCTTCCACTTAATTCTGTTTGCCTCAGTGACACTTTGCATGAGAGCAGAGATGCTCAGCAGCTTGCTTGAGATGCGTAAGACAATCAGTTTAAATACGGCAATGTTAAACTGCTTTGGCAACAGGTTATTTGCAATATCTTTCCCTTTTTTTCTAGCTGATAATTAAAGTTTTCCCCCCTCCTCCTTGCAGTTAGATTTTCTTTATGCCTGAAGAGAATGGCAACTGCACCTGCACAAGTGTGAAGGAGGAACAGCAACATTTTTGAGATAGTAAATGGTAAGAGAAAGGAAGTGCACGGATTTAGTAGGGGGAAAAAATCCCAAGCAAACTGACAACGGAGACTTAAGGTCACACTGAGATGTTGCATATGGGTTGCATATGACTGTGCTCCAGATCCTAAGACAAGGTCAGTAACTTAGCTTCCATATGGAAAAAGAAAAGGTTTTTTAAGACTCATGATGAGGACAGAGCATGAGTAGCTAGACCAGATACGATCTGTGCCTTTCTGAGTGGGCAAACCATCTCCAAACAACCACTGCAGGAGGTAGGAACTTCATTAATTTTATCCCTGAAGTCTGATGCTTTGGGCAATGACCTACTTTAATAAACACTCCTACACAATATTCTTCGGTGAGGCCTCTGCTCTGCTGCAGTTTTGTCAGCAGAGACCATCTTGAAATGATGCTCAAGGGAGCAGAAAATTAATCTTTGCTTCTCTGGCAAAGCCCACGTCTAATGTATACTCTGTGAAGGACAGACATAGGAGCCGTGGTGGATACAACTCAAGAGCCACAATAGTGAAGTTGCTTCAACACCTACAGCTTCAGCTAATGAAGTTGCACAGAGGTAGGGCCCAAGTGATTTTTCAGACACATGAAATCACCATATCTTTATGCCCTCAGTCTTTTTAATGTATCTCTTTGGAAACTGTTTAAGATCTCTGGGCTTACTGGCAGAGCTTGCAGTATATTCATATGGTTTGTATAGCTTTAGAGTCAAATGCTATCTTTGTGATGCACTCCAGTGTTTAAATAACCAGCCTGGGAATGTTTCCTAAAGTCTCTGCTAAAGCAATGGCACTACAGATAGTTACAGCTGAAATTATCTCTGTGTATCCTTTTGGTTTTTATCTCATATGTACTCTTAGAGCAAGGTTGTGAGGTTGCCTTGGAGATGGAGGACTCAACCATGGGGCTATCTGTCATACCACAACGTTCACATTAGCCAGTGTAATTGTGAATACTTTCAACAGACAATTGAGTGAACTGACAAAAGCTTATGAAACCATCACAAGGGAATTGCATAAACTGGGCTCAGATGTTCAATTTGAGACTGTTTCATGACCAAGGAGTTTTGCAGCTGGTTGACAAAAGGGAGTGGGAGGTCAGCTGGTCTCTAGTTGTTATAACAACAACCTGTTATGTTTCTCGTACAATGAGACGCCTATAGTCTTGGCAGGATGGATTGGGAGGATGATTTCCTCTTTTCCTGGAATAATGTCTGAAAGCTGCAAATGTTTTTTTATCTGGTTGAATTTGGGATTTCTCTTGGAAGTGGCAGGATTCTTCCAAGTGCTAATGCACCATGGTGCAGCCCTTGAGTGGATCAGTGGGAAGACTCTGGGAATGCACTATCGATTAAGCTGACATGTAAATGAGGAAGTGGAAAAGAGAAGGACAGAGAGAATCTACAGGTTTGCTGCAACATCCAGCTCGGAAAAAGAAAAAAAAAAAAGACCCAACTATGCATTGCTTTTATTCCTAATGTTTAGTTTATGTCTTCCAAGGGAAAACTGGCAAGTGACCGGCTATGAATAATGTACCCATGGGGAAAGTTTGTTTCTAAACATGAACAGTTAGTGCCTGGCTTATGTCTGGGTGGGTGTGCTGGCTGTTTCATAAAGATTTCATTTTACTGAGGCAACCACATAAAATAATTGCTTTGGAGGAATTCAAGGTGAGAGTATCTTTATTCTGCATCTACATCAACACCAACACCCTTAATGCAGCAGAAGTGAAGTGCAGAGACAATTCTTTCTCCCTCGTCTCTCCATGCATCTCTCTGAGCCCCTTGCAAATTATAACTGAAGTTATATGATCCTTCATATTTCCAGCTGTGCTGGTTTGGCCTGCTCAGTAAAATCCTGGGTGTTGGGGTGTTTTTTTTGCCATAGTGGCAGGACAAAGAAAAGGTACAGGCTGAAGTTATAGTTTATTGTAGTTCAGTAAAAGATGCTGATGGAGTAAGAGCTGAAAACAAGCAAATCCCAAACATTTCCTTCAGCTGTGGGGGTCACAAAAGTGATAGAGCTTGAAGGTGCAGTTCTCATCAGAAGTGGTAA